ATACCGAATGCTGCATTTCTTTACCGGGGTTGCTTCCCAGCAGCCATCTCATCTAGCCCCGGGCAACGCGGACAGCTCATGTGGTCGCGCTGAAGTGTTGAGTCAGAGCATTTCTCTCGTGCATAAGGAAAATGTATAAGTGATGTGGTTCGGTTCCCAGTCAGCGCACCTTGCCTTTTTTATTTACCTCTGTACGACGTTGCGTGCCAGTATTACGGTTCGTTATTGGCTGTCACTCCTGAACTCGGTGTATAGTAGGAAGCCGTGTTCGCTTAATCCAGGTTTTTTTGCGCTCTGTGGTGCTGTGCACCCTTCGCCTGATACGTCATGAACACCGACGGCAAGGCGTGAGTGAAATTGGAGGGGGTTGCAGGAGACATGCCTTCTTTTTAGTGTCTTGCCTCGATTTCTATGGCGTGCAAGATCATCACAGTGCGCTTAAAAGGCACACGTCTACCATTCAAGTGCTTCTCTATTGAATCGTTCGTTTTTGTCCCCAATACTTAATTGCATATTAAAACGGGGAGGTTAGGTGTCGAAATATTTGCAGCTTCCATTTCACCGCGTTCGCTGATATGCGCGTCTGTCTGTTGACCTGCATGTGTCGTGACAGCGTATTTTCCACGGAAAGCTGGCAAGTTATGGCGGAGTAAACGAGCAGTTTGCTGTTTTGGATATCGGCGCTGGTACGTTATTGTCATGTCTCTTGACTTTTGTAGTGTCTCGACAGGCTTAGACCGATTTTGTAGTACGTTCTGAAAACTCACTGGGTTACGGTTACTGGTCCCTTCTCACACCTGTGTTGATAAACTCAACCTGCCCAATTAACGGGTTGTAGGCCCGTGTGCTCAGATTTGGGTGCACGTTAAAGAACCCCGGGTGGTCGAAATCTCCGGAGCCCTCCACTACGGCGTCTCTCGTAATTGTATGGAGGTTTTGGGACGTTGAACCCCCCATATCGTATCAGATTTCTCCAGTGCCTTGTTGAACAATAAAATTTGGCAGCGTGCGCGTTAACTATAAGAGGAATGTGGGTGCTTTGAATCAGTCTTCCGTCTCTCAATGCGTGCTTGGCACCTTCCCAGGTCTCTCTCCTGCGCAGCGCCGCCACCAGTGAAAGCGTTAGCGCCCGCGGCGTCGCGTATACACATGGTTCCCTTTGGCGGGAGATGCTGCAGTTTTTTTTACTTGTTTTCATTTTTTTTGCCGGCACAATCGCCTAGCTGGTACGCTCGGTGACGTGGTCATGAGCGTTGGCATTTCATTCAAGTGACACATAATGCCGGCTAGCTAAAGCAGAAGGTAAGAGAAAAGCGAGGTCACCCGTGAATGAGGTAGTTGGATGATGAGGCTACAAAGAATCACACGCACGCGCGCGCGCGCGCTTGTGGGATTTCTCAGTGGGGGTTATGTCATCCGAGCTATTCCGGCAGTGGTGCAGGGACGAATGAAATGAGACCGCAATGCTGCCAGCGTTGCCAGGTGTCGACCAGCGTCCTGTATGCGCGGCATTCTGCATGGCAACGGCGTCATGCCGGCGCGCTGCTGCAGCGCTGTGATCGGTCGGCGAGGCATCGCAAACAGGCTGCTAAAGGTTTCCTGTTGCATCGCTGGTGGGAACGACAGCCCGCCGCGGCTGGCGGCACTGGTGACGCAACGGACTCCGACTTCTGGGAGACTACTGTTACCATCCTCATCAACGCTTACCTCATCCTCCAGGCCGCTGGTTCCCATCCCACCTCGCCGACTTGTTGGTTCTTTCCCGCACGTGCTGCGTTGCTCGACTGAATAAGCACGCGCGCACGAACCCCAAACATTGAACTTGGAAAAAATTATCTACTGCTTCATGTCGACCTGCTCCTTCTTGAGAAGTGAATCAGTTAATTGCCTGCAGTTCCATGCCACACTCACTAGGTTTTGCCCATGTTTGTTTGTTTTTTACAAATTGGCTTTTTAAACAAGAATAACTTAAGAAAGTTGCCCTCTTATTTGTGTTAGATTGGCTTGGGCCCGTTATACCTCCTGGTGGTGCGGGCCACCCCCATTTTTCTTTGGTTATTTTATACACGGGAAGTGCACGTGCGCTCGCAACACACACAGATTCCATTTTATGTTTCTGTTGACTTGATTCCCTTCAGAGGTCACTATATATATGACCAAAGAAGTCGTATGGGTAGTATACCTTTAGAATACCAAGGAGAACTACTTCGATGTCTGTCTGAAGAAGTCTTCCTCTCTGGGAACAGTCCGCCGCCGTTCTCTTCGTTTTGCGTGTGCATACACGCTGGGGCGAGCCAGACGTTGGCATCAGCGATAAATGCAGGGATATGGTATATGAGCAAAAAAAAAAGTGCTAAAACCGTACGGCATCCCACTTTGTTTCCCTTCTTCATCGCGGCCTTACACACAATGTTCGGCTCAACTGTATACGACACGTTGAAACGATCGCGCGCCCGGCTCTCCACAGTGTGCGCCCCGTCGATTGTGCTTTTTTCCTTAGCCAGCCGTCTCTCGGGAAATGCTGCGGCGCTGTTCATTGAATAATTAGGTTGCACGTGCTGCGTTGCTCGACTGACTCGCACCTAATCGGGTTAGCGTGCTCGCTCGCTTGCCGACTCGCCGTCTATAGTTTCAGGACAGCGCTGCAGAAAGGAGTGGTGTTCATTACATTCTGGGCATATTGTTACTTTTTTTTTTAGTAAGTCTATTTGCGTGCGTCGAGGAGCAATCTGAGATATGAGTTACAGATTCGTTTCTCGTTCAAACCGGGTGTAATAGAGGTTGAAGGTGTTGAGCGTTTTGCGTTTATATCTAGCGTCGGATTGAGGAGGCCTTGCAGTGTATTCACCCAATCGCGTGCACGAAGTAGGGCTGAAAAAAAAAAAAAACACTGCGATCTAATTGCTGCGCCAAACTTAAAGGCACGCCAAAAGTCAACTACGTGAAACTGCTACCATACGTGTGCCCCACCGCGGTGGTCTAGTGGCTATGGTACTCGGCTGCTTACCCGCTAGTCGCGGGATCGAATCCCGCCTGCGGCGGCTGCATTTCCGATGGATTGATTTGATTGATATGTGGAGTTTAACGTCCGAAAACCACCATATACGATTATGAGAGACGCCGTAGTGGAGCGCTCCGGAAATTTCGACCACCTGGGGTTCCTTTTAACGTGCACCCAAACTGAGCACACGGGCCTAATACATTTCCGCCTCCATCGGAAATGCAGCCGCAGCAGCCGGAATTCGATCCCGCGACCAGCGGGTAAGCAGCCGAGTACCTTAGCCACGATACCACCGCGGCGGGGCCAAAAACACCAAAGACCCAATAGAATTAGAACCCGGGTCCCCTGCGCGTGCGTGCGTGTGTATGTGCGCGTGCGTGCGTGTGTGTGCGTGTGCGTGCGTAAGTGCGCGCGTGCGTGTGTATGTGCGTGTGTGTGCGCGTGTGTATGTGTGTGCGCGTGCGCGCGTGCGGATGTGTGTGCGCGTGCGGATGTGTGTGCGCGTGCGTATGTGTGTGCGCGTGCGTATGTGTGCGTGTGTATGTGCGTGTGTTTGTGTGTGCGTGCGTGCGTGTGTGTGTATGTGCGTGTGCGTGCGTGTGTGTGTGCGCGTATGTGCGTGTGTGTGTGCGCGCGTGTGTGTGTGCGTGCGTGTGTATGTGTGCGTGCGTGTGTGTGTGCGCGCGTATATGTGTGTGCGCGTATGTGCGTATGTGCGTGCGTGTGCGCGCGTGCGTGTGTGTGTGCGCGCGTGCGCGCGTATGTGTGCGTGCATGTGTGTGTGTGCGCGCGTGTGTATGTGTGTGCGCGTGTGTGCGTGCGTGTGTGTGCGTGTGTATGTGTGTGTGTGCGTGCGTGTGTATGTGCGCGCGTGCGTGTATGTGTGCGTGTGTGTGTGCGTGCGTGCGTGTGTGTGCGCGTGCGTGCGTGCGTGCGCGTGCGTGCGCGTGTATGCGTGCGTGCGTGTGTATGTGTGTGCGTGCGTGTGTATGTGTGTGCGTGCGTGTGTGTGCGTGTGTGTGCGCGTGCGTGCGTGTGTGTGCGCGTGCGTGTGTATGTGTGTGCGTGCGTGTGTATGTGTGTGCGTGCGTGTGTGTGCGTGTGCGTGCGTGCGTGCGCGTGCGTGCGCGCGTGCGTGCGTGTGTATGCGTGCGTGCGTGCGCGTGTATGCGTGCGTGCGTGTGTATGTGCGCGTGCGTGTGTGTGCGTGTGTATGCGTGCGTGCGTGCGCGTGTGCGCGCGTGTGTGTGTGCGCGTGCGCGCGTATGTGCGCGTGCGCGTGTGTATGTGTGTGCGCGTGCATTGTGCGTGTGCGTGTGTGCGCGTGCGTGTGTGTGCGCGTGTATGTGTGCGTGTGTGTGCGTATGCGCGTGCGTGTGTGTGCGTGTATGTGTGCGCGTGCGTGCGTGTGTGCGTGCGTGTGTGTTAACCGATGGTTGCAAAATACGGAAACTGAAAGGCTGGAGTGACACGCTTAACAGTGTTTCGATTCGTCTGACGGTGACAGCAGCAGACGTGCGATTGTTTGGACGCCCACAGCTCGACGGATCCATTTGCTCTTTCTTCTGCTTTCCTTTTAATTACAGAAAATCAACATACGCGCCGCTCCGATTCGGCACGTGACGTTTGCGCAGTTCGTTGTGCCCGGCAGGTTGGCAGGCTTCAGTCGCACTTCATATCGCAGTGCATGGAATGCGCAGCCCGCGGAGTGATACGTTTTTTGTTTGTTTGTTTTTTTTTAGTTCTCTCCGCCCTTTTGTGCGCCGCCCCCCTCGGCGTACTTGCGCAGAAACGGTGCTGAACTCCGGGCACGTGCGCGTCTCGCGAGATTTCCGGGTGGGTTTGTATCTAAAGCGTCGAGTCCTCGAGAAGTGTCGAAATGTGGTGTGCGGCGTTTAGCGTTTGCGCGAAGTCGAGTGTGTGCGTAAATGGCGTCGTTGAATTGATAGCGCGCCGGCCTTGTTCAACACCGCGCGCATCTTTTTTTCATCTGTCGCAGACGGCGGGGCTCTCAAGGACCGGAGTTCTGGGCTTAGCCGGATCCAGCGGCTTCGGCGCCGACTCAGCTGCAGCTTCGGACGACTTTGTGAGTGGGGCCCTTGCCTTCCTTCTTGTCCGTTTTTTTTTTTTAATTGGTGCCTGCTGTGTATTCGTTCTTTTTTTTTTTAACGGATAGTGCTCGAGTGCCCCCTTTTTCCCGCGGGGAGTGGGAAAAACAGCACGTTTAGCAGACTCGAGGTGACGGCCACTTGTCTTTTTCCACTTTCTCCCCTCTTCACCCCCCTTGCGACTTTATGCGCTAGCATTGCTCTATAGTGCACGAATCGTAAAATTTCGCTTCTCAACGAAGTTCCTAAGCACCGATTTATTTGGGCGGTTTCGGAAAAGTTGCTTTCCCTCGGTGAGCTTTTCATGAGGTCGCCGATGCAGCGCGCTGGCTGGAGATTGCTTGCTATTGGTCAAGTTCAACGAGAGCATGGACACTGGCCACTTGAAATCATTGCTGCGCACCCCAGTCTCCCGCTCTGGGCGCCAACAACCTTTGAGCAGTATGGACGGATGCTTAGAGCTGCACCCTTCTGACCGGTTGGTGGCTCACGCCACCTAACCGTAATCAGTGGTGTGTAATATACATAGTGGTAGGTTAAATTTCAAATTTTTGCAGCCAACAAAATGGCCCCTACTTTGTTATTTCGACTAGTTTAGTCTATTTTTTCCCGTATGCGTTCCCCATGAATACGCATACTTAGAAAAATTCCACTGTGTCGTTGCTTTCACTTGTAGTGTGAGAAAACCTCTGCATAGAAGTATCAGATGTTTAGCTGCGCCCTCCTACTCCCTGCACGACGTGTCTGTCTACTGCTACACTTGGCTCGATACGTCTCACTCTGCAATGTTCTTGTCATGGCTTCCAGCAGAGAGCTACCCCTCCCGGTAAATAATTATTGTACACATTGGCAATTTACTGCCAGGTGGTCTCGCTGGGGGCGCCATCTTGCGAGAAAGTGTAAAGCTCGAATGCGCCGGTATAGCGAGACCGTTAGCCATATTGTTCTGTAGTGCACTGGGATTTTACTTGTGGTACCGCCGATCTTTACCAGCTCCGCGCACCTATACTGGAATGGCGCATGGCCGGGATTCGCTAGGAATCAACGATGTTTTTTTGGTTCTGCCTCAACGATTCGCAGGGCTTTCATTCATGATGGATGTAAGGTTAAGAGTAAGTTCATTTTTTTCTATTATATATATCACTCGGATGCCAGATCTGTTTCCTCATTGATAATTCCCGTGCTAAAAGGGAAAGCAGCGTATAGGTCTGTGTCAGGGTCCTCTGCATTGTTGCGAGTCGCCCAGGAGACCTTCCGGTTTAATGATCGCATTTAAGTTCACTACGGGGGACTTGATTAGAATTTCAGTTGTTTTTTCTCCTCCGAATGCTATGTGATTTCACTTCTTAGAACTTATTTCCTCCCGCGGTCGTGCGATCGCGTCTTTTGTTTGCGTGTCGTATCCATGGCTCTTGGCAGTCGATACCCTCTGTGCGTCAGCGCTGCCAGCACGTTCGCGCCTCTTTTTCAGCTGCTGGCCCTTGTATGGTTCCGTTCATGTCAGTGTCCATGCATTTACTATATATAGTCGCCGAGGTCCAACCTAACCTTGGCAAAGCGGTGACCGTCGCGTCTATAGATGGTTTCGACAGAGCCTGCTGGTCTCTGCAACATTGTGCGTTCACTGGGAAAACCACCCCTTTAAACTTCTGGTTTAGCTTGTTTTTGCGTGCCCCTAGCCTTTCTTGGTCGCCGTGGTTGCTTGTGTTCTGGTGCCCCGCCGCGGTGGTCTAGCGGCCGAGGTACTCGGCTGCTGACCCGGAGGTTGCGGGTTCGAATCCCGGCTGCGGCGGCTGCATTTCCGATGGAGGCGAAAATGTCGTAGGCCCGTGTGCTCAGATTTGGGTGCACGTTAAAGAACCCCACCAGGTGGTCGAAATTTCCGGAGCCCTCCACTCTCTCATAATCATATGGTGGTTTTGGGACGTTAAACCCCACAAATCAATCAATTACTTGTGTTCTGGTATTTTAGGCGGATAAAATTATTCCGATGAGGCGCTCGCAACTCGGGCACAGCTGTGCCAGGCTGGGATGTAGTCTGCAAACCTGAACTTATTTTATATGTTAGTCCAAACGTTCTGTTTTGGGACATGATGATGATAGAAAGAACGCTGCGTTGCAGCGATCATGCAAGAAAACTGGATCCCCCCACTAAGAGCGCGTAGGTTTGTTTTGCCCACTTCATTAAAGGCAATTTAAAGCTCAGCGCAGACTTAATAGCATAGAGGCGATACTCAGGCGTTAGACTAGTCGATGGCCCTCAGTGAGCAGGAACAGATGTCATATTCCATCCGTGGAAGATAAATGTAATGATGCCTGGAACGGGGTAGCAAAACGTGAAAGCCAGCATTGAAAAATCCGTCCCATAGGTGTTGCTTGTATAGCTTGAGCAACATCAATGATGTGTATTGTTCGAGACAACATGGGACACAAGGTAGCCGCGCTTAACATGAATCGCCGCACAGTGTACGTCGTTGTGTCCACGTTTCGTCGTCGTTGCGTTTGATTTTTTTTTCGAAAGTGACGCTGGCGAGTGGGCTCTCATCTCTGCGAGCAAATGGCTTATCGCCCGTCTTTCTCGCCGCAATTAGCTTATTTATCTTTCTGTGTGAACAGGGACTGTAGGTTTCGGTGGGTTAAACTTGGAAATTTCACTCATGAATAGCTTACTCTTGAGTAAACCATAATAGTTGGCGTGAGCCAGCCACAGTTGACGTCATCACATAATCGGTACATCTCGGATCGCGAGCGATTCCAATCACCGCTGATCTTTATGAAAAGTGCCCGTTGTGACACAGGCGCAGAAATGAGCGTTTTTCCTGAGGTTGCGTGCTTAGACGAAAACACAAATATTGCAGGGTTCGACAGGGTGAAGATTTTCAGTTCTAGTCGAAAGCTAAATTGCACATCGGGCAATTGTTCTCCTGCATGTCGACGATGTGCGTGCGCTTTGAAGACGTGCGCAGGGAAAAAGACACGTCTGCGCTGTCGATTGCCTGTCATCGCGTCTTCAAAAGCGCATCCACATCGTCTACATGCAGAACCAACTGACCCAATTAAGTTCGCTCACAAGCTTCTCCTGCAGTCTATGCATTTTCTGTTTGTATAGGCGCGGCCACTGTCGGAGAGGTAAACACGGAGCAGAGGTCCGCGTTCACCGGGAACACCACGACAGATATTTTGCGCGGCGTCCGTCGGCCATGCGAGCCGTGTTACCTGCAGCAGCCTGTACCTCCCGTGGGCTACGTCGAGGCCCCTTCCTGTAGCCGCTATACGTAGCTCCAAACACATCCTAAGGAACGCACCAGAAATAACAAAGCAGCGAATTCAAACACCGCCGGGAGCATTGAAAAAGCACCGGAAGTCTGCTATAGGGTCGGCTGTCAGCGCGAGCCAGTGTGGGCCGCGGCAGCCTTCGCGCATATTCTCCACTCGATATTGTACCTCATCTTGCACATTGTCCGATTTTATGTGCACGACAGGGGGCCCCACACGGCGAGAATTAATGTGCATCTCCTTCTTCGCTCATTGCTATGGGCCCTTTGTTTAGGACAGGAAATCTGGTCAGTTAACCTTCGATGTCCTCCTCGGTATACCTTGGGGTGGCTAAACAGTGGCGAAGTTACGGCTGTTGCGCTTCCTTGCTTTGGTGAGCATTCCTACGTCGCTGTACTTGAAAGGGCACTAAAGGCTAAGGACAATTCATGTCAGAGGGAAAGCTCGATGTATGGCAACGTCTAAAACGGCAGTATTGTTCACAGAACTGCTTTACTTACCAAGAAATTGAGCCAAATGTATCGTATGACGTGCGCCAGGAGTGGGAAATTAGAGAAATGATCCCGATGACGTGAGAATGTCTGCCTACAATTAATCACTAGTTATCAAACTACCTGCAATAAAGAAAACTTTTCGTGCATCAAGAAACGTAATAAAATACTGCTTGTCCGTTTCTCTTTGATTTATAGAAAAAAAGAACCGTCTGGCGATACTATGGAGAATGGCTCGAGAGGTTCAAAAATTCATTTTTTTAGCTGGATAGGTGATTGCATCTAGTGGGGCCCAGTTGAACCAAGCAAGCAAAAGCATGGCCTCCGAGATTGAAGAAAATTGTTCAGTGGCCGTTGTTGCTACTGTGGCTTCCGCTACTTTCGCTCTGCTGCTACTCCGCGGCCGCGTAGTAAAGGCGGGCAACGTTGGGCATTGTAACAGTGACCTATGAAAGTTCACTTTCAGCCGCCGATGATTTTAAGTGAGCCAACGCGATGCGGGCAATTAAAACGTGATTTTTTTTTCAAAATAAGCACTTCCTTGGCACAAAACTGCATGGCACTACGAGGTTTCTGGGCCGCTATTTCAACAATCAACGTTGACTTCATATTTGCATTTGGTGCGCTGTGCAGCAAACGAATGGGCAGAGTGCTCATTCTGTCATCCAATGTCGTAGCATCTTGGTGAGCTTGTAGCCGAGGAGAATGGCGTTTGGCAGAGCGCGTTTTCCGCACATAGCAAGAAGGATTTGCCGCAGAAAACATTGGCACATAACATTTTGTTCTTTTTACTGTTTCCTGTCTCTCCGTACACCTGCAGTAGTGTGTTTCCGGAAATTCTTGAAGGTAAGTTAAATGGGTCATTTTCTCGCTTCCTCCGTAATTGCTGCTTTCTATGGCGGCAGACATCTTAAAGAAATTACAATTGAAGAAAGGCAAATAAATTAAATTTATTGAGTTTTTAATTAGCGGAGACAGAAGGTCGGGTCAAGTGGGAGACTTGAAGTCCTTGCCGCGAATCGCCCAGTGCCGCTTTCGGATGTCCAGAAGGTGGCCTGTGGTAATTATTGCGTAGTAATGAAGTCTGACTAGATTCGCCGGGAAAACCGAAACTCCTACGAGCACAACTGTAGCAGACGACCTTAATTGCGTCACAGTGTTCACTGAAGTTATCGCAACGGGGTCCGTTCTATTGCATTGGTTAACGTGTG